GGGAGCTGTTGAGGGTGGCTGCCAGTGGCTTGCTGGCTCATGTTTTGGGATCACTGGGTCAGGGGCCCCGGTGGCCACTGCTGGCTCTTGCCTGGCAGACTTGGAGCTGGCACAGGCACTGTGGCCAGGGTCTACCCCTTGAATGGCTCCGGGGCTGGAAGAGAGGAGAGTAAGTTTTCCTGGCTGTGCCCAGAGTGGCCACCAGGGCTCCGTGGGAAGGGCTGGAGGCCCGCTATTTTGAATTAAGTGTCTACACAGCACTTAATTTGAAATAGCTATTTTGAATTTGGCGTTACTCCTTGTAGAATGAGGTTTACCAAATTCGAATTAAACGCATGTATAGACGCTATTAAAGTTAATTCAAAATAACGACTGTTATTTCGAATTAACTTTGCAGTGTAGACATACCCTTAGGAATGATCTACATGGTGCTTGATCCTGATGTGAGGGCAGGGGACTAGATATGATGACTCTTGAGGTTCCTTCCAGTTCTAGTATTCTATGATTCTATGTTTGAATAGTTGAGAAGAGCAGAATTAGAAGAGCGTTCTCATCTCTGCTATAATAGTACAAAGAAAAAAAGAGTCTTCTCTACCTTTAAAAAGTAAACATAAATTGTGATATGTTCAAGAAATTCCTTAAATGTGCACCTAGCTGGGCAAAGAAATATGTGCTGTTCTGCACTATCTTTGTTAAACTTTTCTATTATGTCTTCTTATTCTCTTATTTCATCCTCTAAGGAAGGAGTTAACATTATTATGCAGAGACAACTTGACTTGTTTCAGGAAGCCATGCATGTGAAAATAGAGAATTTGATAGCCATTCCTATGTTTTGAAACATTTAAAATACCTGAGTTAGGCTGTTTATGTTTTTGGATCATATTACTGTGGTGCTGAATTAATATTTTCAACCTCTTCATATTAAAACACTCCAGGTCAAATTTACCTGATGACTTAAACAGTTGTTTAAGGTACATGTGAGATATAACACCACTTACTTTATATTATATCATCATGTTAATGGATTCCTCTCCTTTTAATATGCTAGTAACCCCCATTTTGCATACCTACTGAATGCCAAATTAATGCAGTTACATTTTTGTCATTTACACTTGATTTCTTATCCACTCGGACCTGATGAGGAATTTCTGTATCACTTGTCATTAGTGAATTAATTTAATACTGAACACCTCTATTCCTCAGTGAACATGTCTTTAGGTTTTTCCAACTCTGTTATTCACAACAAATTGTAGGAGAAAAATTTACACACATATATATATATATATATAACTTCTTTGTACTGGTTTTGATATTGTTATTATATTGATTCAGAGACTATTTAACCTTACGCAATTTAAAGACACACAATATTGACTGTGTTGGTAAATGTAACATGATCAGATCATTGCTAATATACAGTTGGATGCCTCATTCTTTGGGAATGAATGCATAATTTATAGATTAATGGGATACATGTGTGAGTCTTCATATTGCACTAACATGCCATCAAACACGCTACAGATCTCTTATGTTTTGGATGTCAGACACCAGTCATTCCCCTCAGCAAGGTGTCTAGTCAGAAACAGCATCTAGGTGGAGTTGACGTATCAGAGATTCTTACCCACCACACATTAAAAATGACCAATTTATTTACATCAGTAGGTTCAACAAAGTGACAGTGAATGTTCCAGTTTCTTGCTTAGGATCTTGATTAATGAGACTGGCCTGCATGCAGCTGTTAGCTATTTTTGTTATTATTTACTTGTTATGGTCATTAACAGAGCCCCAGTCATGGATCAGAACTCCACTGTGCTAGGATCTGTACATATACACATTTTCTGTATATACACCCACTTTTCTTCTCCTGAGTCAAAGGTTTTTATTTTAATCAAGTTGTAATTTCATTCATTCACCACCTTTTCTACCATAATGTTTCTCTATAGCCAGTTATAGTTTTTCAACTTTTAAAATGTCAACATTTTAGAAAAGGGAAATATTTTCCTTTAAAATATTTTCTCCCATTTTTGACTACTTCTGATATTCACTCCTGATATTGGCCTAACATAGGGGTCAACAACTTTGGCTCCCTGCCTGTGAGGGTAATCTGCTGGTGAGCCATGAGACGTTTTGCTGACATTGACCGACCTAGGCATCATCTCCCCTCCTCTCTCAACTCCTTGCAGCACCCAGTGGCTGTGGTTCACTGTTCTCAGCCAAAATGGTTTGGTAGGAAATTCATACTGAAAATTGAGCTTCCATGAAATTGTGTTAGTCTCTGAGTATTCTAAAATTGATTATTTAATCTAGCTCTTCTAACAAATTAAAAAAAATTGAAGACCAAAATTCTGCCCTCTTACAACGTGCAGTATTAAAGGGAGCATATGAGTGTACAAGCGAAGAGGCAGAATTCAGCACAGATTTTAAAATATTTGTAATATCCCAGCTAAAGAGGAGACACAACTATTATGATATTTGTCAATTTTTATGGCAATTTAGACAAAAGAATAGCAATACAATTAATACAACGAATAAAATACTTTTTTCCTTTAAGAATAAAAGACTTTTTTCTTTTAAGAATGCTCCTTTTTTTTTTGGAGGGGGGAGTCTTCAGGAAAATATTTTTAACATAGAAATGTATAAGGCTGTGTCACATTTTGATATAAAATATTCATGCAATGAGGATACTCTGTGGCTGCGGAATTAGGAGCACTGCAATATTCACAAAATCCGGGAGAAGCTAGATTTTGCTTAACTTCAAAGGAAAAATCTTTTATCTATAACGAAGTGTGTCTTATTATAGTGAAGAAAAAGAGCCATCACAAAACTCTTGCCTGAGAAGTACTTCCTGGAACATGAACACTGGGCTTGACATGTCACCATTTATAAACTCGCTTAGTCCTTTTAATTGCTACTTTATCCATTGTTGAGGAGGCAAAGATAGTTTACCATAGCTGCCAGCTCAAATTAAAAATGTTGTTTTTTTGTGCCTTTAGAGATCCACTTAATGTAGACTGATTGGTGTTATTATTCTTTCCCTTATCAAGTTGATAGCAGCAGCTGCTAATTAGCAAACTTGATTTTTGGTGCCTTTGGACTCTCACTCCCATACTGCTTTGATCTTTATGTCATTCTATCTCACGAACAGGCAGTTTGAATTGCTGCATCGTCAGTAAGCTGAAGGTGAAAATCAAAGGAAACAATGGATTTGTGTTCTTTTCCCCCCCTGTGCGTTTATTAAAGAGCTGATGTTTTTCAGAATATATTTATATATCCATTTTCTGTTTATTATTTATTACTTGTATTACACTAGCATTTAGAAGACTCAACCAAGATTGGGGCTCCATCATGCTAGGCTCTGTAAACACACATAATATGACATGGTTTCAATCCTCCAAGACAGGCAAAGAGTGTGGAAGAAAGGCAGTATCATCCCCATTGTACTTGTGGGGAACGTGAAGCACAGAGAGCTGAAGTGACTTACCCAGTGTTATGAAGGAATTTTGTGGCAGAATCTGGAATTTAACCCAAGTATACTGAGACAAATGTCATAATCATAAGCCCATTTTCTCTTTTTTGTGTTTTACATTAGATATTGTGATATTTGTGTGCCTTGTTTTTTTTCCTGGAAGACAGACATGGACAATCAAAGAGTTATAAGGGTCATAAAATCACAAGTACTAACAAGTGAAACTTGAGCAAAGAGGAAGAGAGGAAGAGAAGGGTTTTTTCATTAGACTGTTGAAAGCTTTGTCTACACTTCAAAATTTTGCTGTTTTAATTTATGTTGGCATCGTTTGTGGCAATTCCCCCCTAAATGTAGACACAGTTATCCATGTAAAAAGGTGCATATCATGGCATAAGTGCTTATTCTGATTTGGCAAAATGAAATAAAGTGTGCCAGAATAAATTCTGGTTTAACTGTGTCTACATTTGGGCTCTTACTGACATAACTGTGTATTCATTAAAAACATTACACCAGCTGCACATATAATTATACCTTTAAATGTAGGCCAGGCCTAAGGCGTTGATTTTTGTTTTTAACACCCATTTAACTCAAATGCCTCAGAGAGGGTTGAGAAGAAAGATCTATTTGTTAAATACCCCTTCACCTCTTCAATTAATGTAGGTTTTGCTTAATCCGCTCATTCAAAAGATAATATTATGGAATTGACTGGTTTATAAGTAGATGTATATTTTATGTGTAAAGGGAACAGGATTTGTGAGAGGACAAAACATTATTTATGGCATGAAAAAGTTTTGATAATGGATTTAATGCTACTTTAATAATGTTGGTAAGGTAGCCCTGATATTCAGATTAAGTGAAAAGTAATTTTTGTATGATTACTTTCTAGAGCAGAGAACTGAGGAGCTCAGAGGAAATGTAAGGACTTCCACTTAAGAACACAGAATATTTTTGCTTTTGATGAATATCCCCTTAGATATTTTTCATTAAATAATGTTTCTGTTGTAATCCCACTCATTCTGTTATCCCATTATTTCAAATCGATGTGGAATTTATGGGTAGAGTGATTAATTTTGTACTGGAGAATTTATGTTGATCTCTGATAGATCAACATAAAGACCCATCCGTGTCTCTGTTCTCTTTACTCATAGAGGTTTAGAGTTCCATCTATCCTTAGAAGTGACTGTTGGTTATCGAATGGGAATTTAAAAAGGCTGTGTATAGAGCAATACTCCAGCAGTGATGAAAACCGTATATGCCAGTTCATCACTTCTGCCTATCAGTTGAATGATCTTGAGTGTAACTGTCATCATTGCAGTTTATAGGATCTGAACTTGAAGAAAAAATACATAGGTGAAATATGACTCTAGGGAAAATAACTGAATAACAAATTCAGATCAGTACATAGTTCTTTTTGCAGGAAGTCCAATTGATGTAGTTTATTTTGTTTGTATTGTGGTTGAGAAAATGCTTGTGTATCTATAGGAATGTGATCGTCTGCATTACATTATTTTTCTTCCTTTCTTCTTTCTCACAGTGCATGCCAATTAAAGGCCTTGGATTTGTGCTTGGAGCCTACAAATGCATTTGCAAGGCTGGATTCTATCATCCCAACATCTTTTCAGTGAACAGCTTTCAGAGTAAGTGCTTTTGCTTGAGTTTAAAAAAAAAGAAAAGAAAAAAAAAAGAAATTGCATTAATAATGCAGCACTCCTTTTTATCCTTGTCAGGGTTATTCAGTAAATTCCCAGTGGCTTGCAACTCTAGGATTATATAATCACTTGAGGAGTTTTAGCCCTTTTGTTTGTCATTTGTGATACTATTGAAGATCCTGTAAAACATACCTATTATAATTATATTTGGCTTTTAAATACATTTTAAAAATATAAAAAGAAATCTTGTTACCCGGGAATGAAGATTTCTGGCATCAGTATTTGTGCAAGGACTGCAAATAAATACATATTAATTTCACCTTGTATTAGTGTAGAGTTGTTGCCCTAGTCTCTGCCTCTGCATTTTTAATTGTCTTATTATTACCCAAAATGAACAGAAAAATCTAAGATATAATTTTGTGCAAAATGGTTATTAGAGATTTTTAGAGCTGAGAAACTATGCACATGTAATGTACATAACATACAACTTCTACAGGTTTCCTGAGAACATGTGAGGTGAATGCTTGATACATTATCCTGTTGCTCACTGGGGCTATGTCTACTCTACAGAGTTTTTCTAGGATACTGGAGGTATCTTGGAAAAACTCTGCCGTGTCTAGGGAACTCATTAGCTTTTTTGGAACTGTTTCCGAAAAAGTGGGCACGTTCTTTTAGAAGCGCTGTATTCCTCATTTTATGAGGAATAAGAGATCTTTTAAAAGAGGTTTTCCCCACATGTAGACAGGCTAAATGTCAGAAAAGCCTCTTAAAAAAAAAGCAGAATAAGGTAAGCAAATTGCGGTTTGCAATTTCCATCTCTTTTTCTGGAAAAAGAATGCAGTGTAGACATAGTCAGGCAGAGAGACTTGATGAATATCAGGAAAGTTGCTAATCAATTTTTATACTGTGTTTCCCAGAATGCTCATTATTTTAAATGGCAGTGAACCCATTATAGCGCTTGCATGATTCCAACTGAGGCCTGATCAACACACACATTTTGCATTGAAGTCATGATGTCAGTTAAGGATGTAGTTACCCAAGTCCATCCCATAGTTTGGATACATTTATATTGTATACAGGTGCCCTTTAATGTCATAGGATTCCCCTCCCTTACAGGAATGGCTGTCTAGATATAAAATGCCTTTAGATATAAAAGCCTCAAACTGATTAAGTTTTCACTTTATGGTGAGGAGAAGTTTTAGGCGGGAAACCCTTTCCCTCCTCTTGCGGGGCTTAAAAGACTTACAGATCTTGCAAGCTATTGCAAGGTGGGCCGTCAACAGAGTCATATAAACTAGTTTACCCGGCATAGTCAAAGAAGCGGGGATTTAAATAATCCCTGCTTCATTAAAATAAATATGGCCACCGCGCTGTGCTGACGATCAGCTGATCCAGCACAGCGCAGCAGTCTAGACACGGATCTGTCGGCTGGGGAAGCCTTTGCCAACCGATCCCTTATGCTTCGTGAAACAAGGTTTGCAGGATCGGTCGGCAAAGGCTTCCCCAGCCGACAGATCCGCGTCTAGACTGCCGCGCTCTGCCGGATCAGCTGATCGTCAGTACAGCACAGCGGCCACGTTTATTTTAATGAAGCAGGGATTATTTAAATCCCCGCTTCTTTGACTATGCCGGGTAAACTAGTTTATATGACTCTGTTGACGGCCCACCTTGCAATAGCTTGCAAGATCTGTAAGTCTTTTAAGCCCCGCAAGAGGAGGGAAAGGGTTTCCCGCCTAAAACTTCTCCTCATGGAGACAGCGCTTCAACCGGTGCCGCCGGAGCAGCCTACGGTATGCAGCGCACCGGCTTCCACACGTGAAGCTTCTCACCGGCACCGTGTGTCGGCATCTTTAACACTTCTAAAAAAATAAAATACCTAGATACAAGGGAGCCATGGGCTGATTATGACATGAGTAGTGACTTAGGGGAGTCTGAATAATTGTAACCAGCTATACAATCCATTTATACATTTCTCTCCGTCGTTCCTCACAACATTATTTAATGAGCCATCTTTGTAACTTGCTATATTACTTCCTGTCCTCTGGTTATAGTCTCCCTCCACCCTATTTTATATTCATTAGAGGAGAAACTCAGTCTCCTGTTTTAAATATATCTAGAGTCACTGGGGAAAAAACACCTAAATATGTAACTGATGCACATGTACACCATGGATGAGTTGATTGCATTATTGAGTATGATCTCTCAGGTAAATTGGAGGCTACAGTGCAAGACTGCCAAGTTCAAAACATCCAGGTTCTTACTTTGTGTTTGTGTACAAGTGTGGTGATATATGTTTACTTGAGTGAAAAGGGACAAGTACTGCAGAAGGAATTTCAGTAGTATGGGGCGCTTTTTTAATGGTAGAATGGCTAACACTCCCATGTCTCTTTGCAGCCATACTTCACTTTTTAGGGTTTATTGCAGGATCCAATCTATCAGTAAATAATTAAATAGATTAATCCTGATATGGATCCACAAAGAGATGTCAGTGTTGGATCGTAATATTTTATCATCTGTGTATTTACGTTGCATAAATAGTGCAGCATATTATTCCAAAGTTTGCACGATTATTTCTGTCGAGTGCCACAGTGAAGTGGTAATGTACTGGTTTTCTCATTGGGATGGATATGGGAGCAGATACAAGTACTATGTTGTGTTAGTCAGGCATTGTATGAATCTTTTAATGAACGGAGGGTGATGCTTGCCATGCAGAGTGAGTTGTTATAGAGCTCCGGATTTAATTCCTTGAGTGTGAATATGCAAAATTCATTCTATGATTTCATAAAAACAAATTCTGAAAACACATTAAAAGGAGAGAATAATATAATTAGGGATAAAATAACATTGATCACTAGTATCTACATTCAATACTCTGGGATCACTTTGAACTATCCTTTGAATTAACATGAAGGAGCTTGACTTTGGGAATGCACTCATCTTTTTAAGTACTGCTTTTATTCAGCTAGATCCAGCTGTCTGCTAGTAGGCAAGATTAAGTCATGGAACAAAAGTCATTGGTTTAAAGGCAACTTATCCCTGCAATCTAAATGGAACAAAAATAAGGTATCCAAGATGTTGGCAGATGTCATGCATTCTTGGAGCATGATGTAGTCACTATTTTCTAATGAATTTTGCATAGGAATTAGAGGTCAGGTCAGTCTGGTAGTTGGAAAGGTTTTCTGTGCCCAGTGTTTCATATGAGGGGGATCATTCTGTTTTTAAAATGGCAAAACTGCTCACTCATTTTCTTGAAGGGGGTTGTCACTCCTTTGTAAATAGCCTAATCTGAGATACTGTGTCTGAGTGTCCCATATGGATTTGGATGAACTCGGGGAGTGTTTGATTCCAGAGAAATTAAAACAAACACATATTATACACGCATAACTCTGCTTCCATATAAAGTTTGCTAATGGGAAATGACCCCCCATTTCCTCCTTCCAGCACTGGGAATTAATTGGCAATTAATTAGCTAATAATAAAATGGTCACATTGTATTTACTTGTATAATAGTCTTATACTGGAGAAAACAAAAAATTTAAAAATTTCCCTGAGGTTGTTGCAAGATAAATCTCTTATTTTCTCAACATGTATGAGACCTCCAAATCCTTCAGCAAAAAGAAAAAAAGAAAATATACATACAGTTGTCCCTCTTAAAAGCTTTCAAAATTTGCATTAGGTAATTAATACCATGGTTGTAATTATAAATATTTTTTTCCCTTTTTGGTCTGTTGTAATCACTTCAAAACTTGGGTGAGGTTTTCATTTGCACTATAGCCCAGTTGGAGTCGGAATGAAGGTGGTTTTAAGCCAGCTTTGAGCCCTCCCAAATCTAGGCTGCTGCTGTGAGGACTGGTTTGGGCCCTGGAGTGGCTTAGACAGCCCTGGAGAGCTGCCACATTAAGACAGCCTGTCCCCAGTTGCCTTGAATCCCCACAGCACTACTTGCAGTGGTTGAGAAAGTGACTAGGGTGACTGACAGGAAAAATCTGGTTGAAAATTTGAAGGTGGAAGGTAGATTGAGTGAACATAATCATGAGAGTTCATGATTCTAAGGAATAGAGAGAGGAAAAACAGCAGAATAAAGGCAATGGACTTTTAAGACTGTAGATGTTACCAAACTTGGAGAATCGGTAGGTTAAGGTCACAGACCCGAGTGTAAGGGGACTGTTACCCCTTACTAAAACTCTGTGGGAGTTTTTGGTTTGCCAGCTTGCAGTATCTGAAGGGGAAGAGTTCATGAGACTGACTGACCCCAGAGACAATGGAAAGCAGCCAACACTCCAGCTCAGCCTGATTGACAGGTTGGACAGGCCAGTGAGGACAGTGAGAGGCCAGGCCCCGTCCTCCCAGTGAGCAGGGATTGTTCTGGGTCTCTCTGAGCAAGGAGAGAGCTGAGAGAGCAGAGCAAGCTGTATGCAGAAGTCGTCCTGCCAAAGGAACAGAGAGCGGAGAGACTGCTAAGAGGAGCAAGCTGTGCTGAGGGGCAGTTTTTGCAGCAGCAGAGCCAGGCATACACAACTCAAGGAGAGCAGACCCTGTGTTGAGCAGCAGACTGGCAGTGCTCAGAGCCAAAAGGAACAGAGAAGCAACACAAGGAGCTGGAACTGGCCAAGCAGCACAGCCTGCAGCTGGATGTGGTGAGCACCTGGGACCAGCAAAGTGTGGGGAAAGGCTCTGGACTGGGAGAGGGGTCTGGCCACTTCGAGCTTGAGACTGTGTGGTCACTACCAGAGCTAGCGTGTCCAGCCTGTAGCCCCCCCTGCAGCATATCCAGGGCCTCTAAGAAAGAGACTGTGGACTGTCCTTACACCCTGCAGACTGCTGCTTTGATGTCCCTGTGCTACAGAGCAGGGCTGTGTGTTCTCATTTAACCATTCTCATTTTTTCTTATTCTTTTCTCTTTAATCCGTTGTTGTTTAATAAATTGTATTTGCTTTGAACCTTATGAAGTGATCACTGGGCCAAGAAGGCCTGCAGTGTAAAGAGAG